GTTTTTGAGAAAAGTGAAAAAATGTAAGTATATAATTTGTAGCTGAAATTCTTGGGGTGGCAGGAGAAGATAGAAGACCTTCTGCTGTTCTAAATACAAATCCATTTATTGAAGTGACAGATACGACGTTAACTCCTAATTCTACGCAGTCGGCTCCCATGGATCGAACACCGTCCCCTACAGATGAATTATTATCTTGGACGAATTCTCCAAAGTTACATAGACACAGAGGTATAGGTGAAACTCAGTATGCAGATACAGAAGTAGAGGAATTGTTAATCATGCTTCGAGAAACTGAAAGTTTAGAAGAACAAGGAGATATTTTACAATATCTTGTAAGTACAAGCAAGAAAACATTTCTATATAATGGATTTAAATTTAATTTCATTTAGTACTATAAAATTCGTTATTCAAAATTTTATTGATAGATTACTTACTGGTAAACATTAAAAATTTTGAATTTTTGGTATAAAGTGTAACAGAAAAATAATATGATAATGAAAAATAGGGAAAATAATATCTTTTTCTATATAATACATGATTAATCTTCTAGCAACAGAGCAATTTTATTAACAAATAGACAGTTAGTTTCAAAAACAAATATTATTATGCATATGCGATTATTCATCATTGAGGAATTAAAGTTGTTTCTAACATTTTTGAAAAATATTTTCTATTGATTTAATAAAAATTTCCAATTTAAATATTTAGGTTGATTCTCAAGGTCTGTATTTCAATACTGGTATGGTAGAAGAAGGTCATCCAGTTTTGATAAAAGATTTACTGAAAGATCTCTACGAAAAGGCTTGTCAACAAAAAATGTGGGGTATTGTACGCCACACAGCTGGCATGTTAGGAAAACGAGTAGAAGATTTAGCCAAAGCAGTCACTGATTTATTAGTTCGTCAGAAACAAGTTACGGTTGGAATGCCACCAACTAACGAGCACACTATTGTCGCACCATTGCCAGAAAATGAATTACGAGCTTTAATTCATCAAGCGTATGGAGATGATGAATCTACTGCTATGCTAACGCAAGAATTACTTGTTTATTTAGCAATGTTCATTAGAACGGAACCACAATTGTTTCTTGAGATGCTCAGACTTAGAGTAGGTTTAATTATTCAAGTAATGGCTACTGAATTATCAAGAACTCTAATATGTACAGGAGAAGAAGCATCCGAGCATTTGCTTAACTTATCGCCATTCGAAATGAAAAATCTTTTACACCATATTATAAGCGGGAAGGAATTTGCCATTAGCAGTGGTATGTTTAACATGTTAATGAAATAAGACATGAATTTTATTTTCATGTAAAAGTAATTTTTTCTGATTTTAGTTGGTCGGGGAAATTTTTCTGTTATCAGTTGCAAATCTAGTAAAGTTAGCAAGGTAATAGTCATTAAAGTATATTGATACACATGATTATTGGTTTTTAATACTTTTATTGTAATCCTAATACCTTACTTTAGAAATCACAAATTGGAGGCTTCTTAAGTTCTGATCAAACTGATGGCAACGAAGTAGAGCCAGACCGACAAGGTCAATGGTTACGACGACGAAGGTTGGACGGTGCATTAAACAGAGTGCCGCGAGATTTTTATCCTCGAGTATGGCAAGTGCTCGAACGAGTAAGTATACACGTGTGCAAAGTATTTCAGGTCTTAACGGACAAGCTTTGGAAACACAGAAGCGATAAAAATTAAAAAAAAAAACAGCATAAATATATGTTCATTATTGTTTTGTTCAAAACATAATGTTCCAAACATAAAAATGTAAAAAGCAAATTTCGAAAAAAATTCAAGGTAAAAACCAACATTTGTAGACTTTCAATGTAAAGGAAATATTTTTATTTAAAGTAAATTTTATTGAATTATAAAACACAATTAATTTAACAATTTCTTGAAGTAGACCATTTTAATATATGCATAATATCGATCAATCTATTATTATGTATGTACTTTTAATATATCTCTGGTTTTAACACGCAGAAATAATATTTCATTAAAGTAATTCCAAAAACTGTGTTACATTAGAACTAAACCTATGTAATGCTTCTTAACTTATAATGATAATATTATTATTTCTTGAAAATAATACATATACAATTTTTTCTTTACTTTAAGCAATTTTGCATGATCCTGAAGTTCGTCCATTAAAACTTGTGATTTTCCTGTATTTAAAATTTATCATTTGCTAACATTTCAACTGTTACAGTGCCAAGGTTTGGCAATCGAAGGCAGAATTCTACCTCAAAATCTTACACAGGAAATGACATCAGGGGAATTAAAATTTGCACTAGCAGTAGAAACTGTATTAAATACTATACCACAACCAGAATATCGTCAGTTAGTAGTCGAAGCTTTAATGGTATTAACTTTAGTAACTGAATATAATGTGGCAACATCTTTGGGAGGACTTATTACTGTTGAACAATTAGTTCATAAGGCTAATGCCATTTTTTTAGATGATCAGGTATAGTATTAAAATATAATACAATATAATATACATATATATATTATATATACTGAATTCATTTAAAATAATTAGATGAAAATTGATGGTGATGCTACTCTGTGCTGTGCTAAACCAAAAGAGCAACGTGAAACAACCGCAATGGGAAATCTTCTTTGTGGTGGAGCAGCGTATGTTTGTCAACATTTTTATGATAGTGCTCCAAGTGGTAGTTTTGGAACAATGACATACATTACAAGAGCCATAGCCTCGCTATTAAATTGTTTACCAAAGGATGGTGATTTGGAGTGTTCAATATCGTAGTTATTTATTTCTTAGAAATAAACAATTTTTAGTTAATTATGTCTAGAAGTCATCTTATAATTTACGTTTGTTGTTTAATATTCGCTTGTGAAATATAAGAAATTTAACCCGTTATTCAGTTTTTTACATTGAGATTACCATATAAAAATGAAAATTAAACTTCAGTGTGAATTAACTACCTCATATTTTTTATTTATAATGTACAACAATATAATATACTTATTAATTCGATTTTGAAGAAGTGAAAGGATTCCAGGGTAGCTTCCATACTGAAGGTCTGTAAAAATAATATGCCATTATATCCTCTTGCAAACACAAAAAATAAAAAAAACGTAATTTATTATAAACATACTTCTTTGCAGCTATCTGACTTTCTTCTTCCTTAAGTTGGGCAATTAACTCAGACCTGTATTGAAGTTTTAAAGGTTTCACTTCGTTTTTTTCTTCATTTTGTTTTATGAATTTCTGACAAGCTTCCTTATATGTTAAACCATACCATTCAATTTCACCTCGTGTATACTGGGAATATATATTAATATAATAATTATATTAATTATACAATAATTAAAGTAATTAATTTCAAAATTAAAAAATATTAAAATTATATTAAAGGAACTTACAGCTGTTAAATATTCTTTATATTTATTATAAATTTCTTCTTTTTTAACAGGATCATCTGGATATAATGTTTTATCAAGCAATGACAAAAGTATCTGACGTTTTATTTTTAGTGCAAGCTCAGACTTTAAATCACAGGCAGGAGTCTATAAATAATTAGAAGCATTAAATGATATGATAATATTTACGATATTTGAAAGTATTTTATAACTTATTTATGTACCTTTAACAAATAGTGATCAAAACCATAATGTTCATTTATTAAATCAATAGTCCTATTGGTAACAACAACACTTATGTATTTATCTAGAACTTCACTATAAACTACGGACTTTTTAAGAGTAGGAAACCAAAAGCGAGGGTATCTGCGAGCATATTTGTGCTTCTTTGTAAAACCTTGTATGATAGCTTCACCACCCCATAATCCTTCATGAAATTCCTTAGGATATAATAAGGGTAATGGTACATTTTGAACTGGATATCTAAAAGTAAATTTCATTTAATAATATTGAAGATATTAAACATTATTACCAAGAAAAACATGGTTACTAATAATTGAACTAATATTTCAATATTAAATTTTTAAGTATCAAATAAGAATATTTGAAAATATGTTACTAAATATTTACACTTCTCCTGTTTCTTCATTTTTTACATATCTGCCCTTTTGCTCTATATAGTGAACAGCAGATGGTGTTTGCATTTTCCATTCTTTCCAAAACTTTTTATATTCTTCTGGTAATGCTGCACCAATTCCTTTTGTCCATCGTGTAGGTCTTGGTATGTAATATAATTTCTAAAAATTTACATATATGATCATTAGTATTATAATATCAAATCTTTTTCCATGCGAGAACAATAAATACAGATGTATATGTAAAATTATAAAGGTACAACAAAATTTATTTGAGGTTATGTTTTATAAATGTATTATTTTTTAATGCAGTATAATACATTACCTTGCCCAGATGTTTCATTGACATATTTTATATTTTCGAAAATTTGTAATAGAATAACAGAATAATTCTCTTAATGTGTTTAAATTATTAGACTACAGCATAGATAATAAATAATATTGAGTGAAACAAGATACAAAGAGATCTTAAGTCACAGTCATACAAACATGTCTGAACCACGATCGCATAAACAGTTTTCGACACTCACTAGGGAAAACCGTCCGGAAACTGAATCGTGTTTAGTAATGAAAAATCAATATGGAACGTTAATAAAGCCCGCGTTTTTGCGAAACAAACAGAGATGAGTAGAGTGTCTCTATCTTTGTTTAAGACATTCATGACATGTCACGTATGCACAAAACGAGAACATTTTTACCTTCTATGTTGATTTTCACAATTCAATTTTCGGACGATTTCTTCTATGCTATTTATATGATTTATATGATTTGAACCAACTCTGGACACTCATTACCGGAGCCTAGGGAAAACCGTCTATACGACCAGAAACCGTGATCTGTTTATATGTGATGTATGATCGTATCCAGGACATTATTCTTGAATTACATTAATATCTTGATTGATTACATCAGTAACAAAAAACGAAGGAACAAATATATTATTTCAGTTTTAAGTATATACGGGAACAAATTTTGTACTTAAAACGATATTAAAATACACAGTTGAAGGTTTTTAGTAAACAATATTGTCCAATATTTCATAACCTATAATGAATATCTTGTATGAATTGCTTTAAGGATTATAAAAAGCTCAAATAAAACGAAATGACTACAAAAATGGGGAAGAAACAAATTATACAGGCTGTAGTTCTTGCAGATGATTTTATAACGAGCTTGACACCTGTACAAGATATATTCCCAACTATATTAATGCCTGTAATAAATATTCCAGTGTTAGATTATTTGGTGGAAACACTGATTAAATCCAGAGTGCAAGAATTATTCCTTTATTGTAGTAACCATGTAGACTTGATAAGAGCATACATCAAACAGAAAAAATGGTTTAAAATATCAGTTTCTTTAATTGTATCAGATACTTGTACTTCTCTTGGAGATGCTCTTAGAGATATTGATACAAAAGGTTCAATTCGTGGTAATTTTATACTTATAAGAGGAGATGCATTTATTAATGCTGATCTTACCAATCTTTTAATCAATCATTGTGCAAAACTGAAAGAAGATAAAGGTGCATCCATGACCATGGTACTAAGAAATATTGGATCTATGAATGAATCTTTCTTGAAGCATGAATCATGTTTGGTAGTTTCTGACAAAAGTAGCAAAAAGATTCTACATTATAATATAATACGGAAAGATTTGAAGAAAGTGAAGTTAGAATTAAATTGGTTTTTGGATCATAGTGAGATTGAAATTAACACTTGTTTTATGGATACTCATGTTTATTTATGTTCTCCTTCTGTGTTACCATTATTCTCTGACAATTTTGATTTCCAAGTAAGTAATATAAAACATAACTAAAGATATAAAATTAAATTTCTTCATATTTAAAAATGTATATTTTTTACATTACATTAAATAAATGTTTTTTAATAAGTTTTTTTAAGACATAAGTAATTAATCTAATATTTTTCTAACAATTAAAAGTAAGAAATGAACAATATATTAAGTAATAATCTTTATATGTTATTAACAGACAATGGAAGATTTCATTCGAGGAGTGTTGATGAATGAAGAAATTTTAAATTCTCGAATTTATTGGCAACAATTAAATCCTCAGGATTATAGTCTGCCAATTGTATCATGGAATGCATATCATACTCTTAACCGAGACATTCTGAACAGACATAGTTTCCCACTTACACCAAATGCTATTCCACTTTTAAAAGATTTTATTTATATGCCAAGAAGCACGTATAAACATAAAAATGCCACTCTTGCTAAAGGTTGTGTATTAGAGAAAGATAGTATATTGTGCCAAAATAGTATTCTTGGGAATAATACGTCTGTTACAAGATCAATTATTGGAAATCACTGTTTGGTAGGGTCTAATGTAACAATTAAGAATTCTTATATTTTATCAGATAGTAAAATTGAAGATAATTGTACTATTGTAAATAGTATAGTATTTACAAATTGTTTTATTAAAGAAAACACACAAATAAGTGGATGTATATTATGTCCTAAAACAATTATTCGTACTCCAAAGGAGTATATTGATTCTATCATAGAATCAGAAAATGACAAAATTTCTATAAAAACAATATCAGAAATTGACCCATGTAATGAATTTCAACTCTTTAAGAATTATAATACACTAGAAAATGATAATTATGTGCCTATAAATACAGATACATCAAGTATTGATGAAGATTCTGAATGTAATTTTATTGCAGATGACACAAGCTTGTTCTTATCTGAGGTTATTGATAGCTTATTAAGAGGTTTTCAAGATCAACTTAACTGTGAAAACTTAATTTTAGAAATAAATTCTTCAAGATATGCATACAATGTCACTATGAACAAAGTAACATATAATGTTATTAAAGCCATATTAAGTTTACCTTTCCATTACCTTTCAGAAGAAAAGGAAATTCTAACTAACCTAGATTACCATAAAAATTTAAAACGTGTGGTAACATATTTTTATCCAATTATCTTGAATTATGTTAAAACAGAAGATGCACAAGATGACTGTTTACATGCAATAGAAGAGGTTGCAAGTACAACTCAAGAACTGTTACCATTTTTGCAACTTTTATTGCATATGCTTTATGATAGAGATGTATTATCAGAAGAAAAAATTTTAGAATGGTATGAATCTAAAGATAAAGATATAGATTCACATGAGAAGAATAAAGTGAGAGCAGCAGTACAACCATTCATTAAATGGTTAGAAGAAGCTGAAGAAGATTCTAGTGACAGTGAAAATGATTAATCACATATTAATCTCTTCAACAATTTTGGAAAGGTATACTTAAAATATTCCATATATGATTATTGTAAAAAATAAATCTTTCTAGTTCTTCTATTATTTAAAAATTTCTTTTAAAAGACGACATTAAATTAAATAAGAAAAGAGATGAGTAAGATAATAACGTTTCCTATATGTAATATAATGTCTTTATTTTTCTGTCATTTTTTTTGTAGAATAGTACATTTTGAGCAATTGTATGAATCGCATGTAAATAAATTATATTTTGTAGATTATTATGCATACCGAATATATAGATCTTATTAAAACATGTTGAATAACACAATAACAAGAGTAAAAATATAAATTATCATTCTATAGGCAAAATAGTATCAATTAAGTTATGCCAAGCTCGATGACGGTGGTCTGGGAATTTGATTACGTCTATCCAATGTCGTAATCGTGCTCCTTTGCTATTACAACTTAGTTCAAGTCCACCTAAATAAAAATAAGGAAGATATTGCTATAATATATATACATAAACTTCTTCAATACAACACACAACAATATAATTATTAAATTTGAAAAAGTTAATGCATTACCAAGGTAGTCATTACTTTTGCCAAAATCCTTATCCCATACTGTGAGATATAATGTGAATTTCATAAGATCTGTTAATCGAGTAGCAAAAGTAAATTCTTCGTTCCACTCTGGATTTAAAGTTTTCCATTTGATTGTTGTACTTTGCGCATTGCGATTTGTGGTTTTCTTTGATACTAGCTTTTTAGCAGTAATACGTGCGATTGAATAGTCGAAGACACGTTGTCGATGATTGTTTGTCACGTTCTCTATAAGGCACAGCTTGACGAATGGATCAGAAAATCCGTTACTGTCCATAGGAAGAAGATTTGTAGCTCGATGAATTGTGACCGTCAATGCTCGCCGTCTTGTACAGTAACTTAGACTCACTTGAATCTGTCCTCGTCCACTGGAAATCACGCCCCAAGCTGCTTCTTCGTTGTCCACCTATGCCAACGTCGAGCTCTTATATCTTAGTGTCTGCAATAATGTAAGTAAAGTCGGCCGTCGCGAAAAATTTTAAACGCGGGAAATGATTATGTTTATAAAGATTAGTAATTAAAGATCAGTAAAATTCTTGAACGATAGTGAAACGTTAAATGCACAAGGGGAAATAATGAACGATATGCAGATTTGATAGTAAAAATTAAGAAAACATTCGCGTCCAAAAGGTTAAAAAATTCGATTTTTGGACTTTCGCATTTATATTTTCTTTTTCAAGATATAAAGATAAAATTTATAACGTTGCTAGAGTTATGTGTCACTGCTCACTATTTTATAATTATTTAAAATATGAATACATATATGTATATAGAAACGAATGAATCTTGACTCTTTAATAACTGTTTGTTTTTCTTTTTATACACGTATTTATTATGTACATATTTATATATGCCAAAAATCGACTCGAAAAACTATCTTTTAGACTAAAACATTCCTCGAAATAGAACAGCATAATTAAAATAATATAATAATATGCTTATATCATTTGTAATCGTTATTACTTAATATTAAAAAGAAATAAAAAGATTAGAGTTCTAATTATACATACTGCATAGTGATCTTGTAATGGAACATTGTAATGTTTTGTTTGATGCGGTTGTAATTCATGCAGAGGAAATTTTGCTTCTCCCAGGAAATCTTGACCTGCTGGATCATCCTGAAGTATTAAGATGTGTAGTGCCTTGCCATTCCATATCTATCATAAATCATTAATTTTTTCGATTAATTTTGCGATATTTTACATCATTATCATTTAAGGAGGGATATACCTTTATGAGTCTCATAAAATCAATTCTCTTTTATTCATTTATTTAAAAACTCAAAGGTACAATGTCTCACAAAAGTATTTGATTATTTACCATAGAAAACTTTTATGTATATGTATATTGTATATGTTACATAAAACATTTTAAAATTTCATTAGCACTATAATGAGGCACGACTATTATGATTATATTGTTTAAATTTAAAACCAATCTATTTACACACAACATATATTTCATATGTACAACAAATTAATATACAGCATGAACAATCATTTCAAGCCTACATATATATATAGTATTAAAGATGGTCCCATTGAATATTGATATTTACTACTGTAATGGATAACTGTTTTGTTTACTACTGTATTGTTTAAATACTTTTATGTCTGTAAAATATATGCTTGTATTAAATATCTCGTAGTTCTTATGTACATTTTTAGATGTTTCAGACTTTACTGATATGGTCATGATAAGCAGGTTTTATTACAGTGCTAATGACATTTCAAAATGCGTTCTATAACACATATAATAGTGGTTTTCTACAAGTGTTTGAATATTTTCGTGAGCTATTGTATCCTTCCTTAATCATTTGAAGAACCTATTTTTATTCATACATCGGTTTCCGTTGTTCCATAGAAATTTAGAGTCTCATTGAATTCCGGATCCCGTGTTTTGTGGACCGTTTTTGTTCGAAGTCGCTTCGTGGTCGCAACTATGTCAACTGGTAATATGTTGAGTTTGCAGAACGGATCGGCAAGGCCATGAATATCCATTGGTTGCAGACCTCGTGCTCGTTCCACTTTGCACTGGAGACATTGAGTTGTTGGGTCGTATCGCAAAGTGACTTCTAGAGTTCCATAATTTTGTCTCGTTTCTATTTGGAAAAATATAGTTTGATTACATGAATTTAAACCTCAGATCTCAGACGTTTAGATCCTAGATTTTAGGTACTTCTCAGTAACTTCCAATATCATGAATTAATGTTTGGGTCATGTCATGAGTATTTGATATTATCAATAAGTTGGTTTTTGATATGTAAAATGAATACATTTCAATTATATCCAATATTGGATATAATTGTAGATCGGAAATGTTTATATCATATCTATATATTAGCTTTTTTAATTTAATTATATATAGAATTTGAAATTACTTCAAAGCTCAAAATGTCTTTGGTTATATCAAATAAAGTTTATACCTATGCAATCATACCATACATAATGTGTGAAATTTTAGAAAGCCTGATATTCTTATATATGTATATCATTATCCAATTCCTGGACTATTAAAAATTCTTGACTCAATATTCTTAAGCTTTCACTCATTTCTAATAGATTTCTGACATATCAATCTTTTAATGATACTTTTTAAATATATTTTTGTTTTAACTATCCTTGTACTATTAGATATTAGATTATATACCTACCATATTCTGGTGTTTGTTGTCGTACTAAATCAATTTGATTGTTGCTATGAAGATTCCCTTGTTCTGAGGAAGATTGGTTTCTTTCCTGATCTATACATTTCTCATAGACCTGAGACTGTTCTGGAACTTGTTCCATTGACACAATTGTCATTGTCGTTGTTGGTATCATTGGAACTGTTGTAAAATTCGATCTGTAAGATATCAACTAATATCAGCTAAACTTCCACTCTTTCATCAGGTTGTATAATAATAAGTTCATTCGCATTTCTTTAAACAAGCATTAGGTTTTTTGATACAGGCAAGCTGCTTGTTTAGGATTGCCATTTGTATTTAAATAATATGAAAGTAAACTGTGTATCTATGTGTGGAAAATAACTTTATGTTATTACAGGCTCATAGCTGAAAATATGTTATAGTTCTGAAACTAATGATGTTTGGACCCATATTTATTAAGGCATTTTGAAATTTGACTCCTTAAAACTTTGATTTCTTAAAACACCTTAAAATGTAATATCAGAAAACAAATGAACTTATTATATAATCTAATATTTATCATTCTTACCTACCTGAAAGATAGTATCTGAGAGCTTTTTGGTTGATCACATAAATTGATCTCTAATTTACAAGTAGCTTCATTAATATCCTCGAGCTTTTTGTTCTTGTCATCGATAATTTCATCTTCAAACGAAACATGCTGTTCGGTTTGAGAATCATTGCTGCTAGCTTTTAGAGATATTCGTGAACGAGGGCTTGTAGGAGATGGTGAAAGACGACTACATTGAGAAGTAATAGAAAGGGTAGATCTGTCTAACTGATCTAAACATTCCTCACGGCTATTTAATGGTGAGAGGCGTTGCCCTCGCGATTTAGATGTACTACTAGTTGGTTGAGCAGAATTTGATGATGATGAATAAGTTTTGGTAGTAATACTATCTTGATTTCTTTGTAAGCTTGACAGTGAATCAGACTGCCCTCGAGCTAAAGCTAGGCGTCGTGTTACTTCTTCATCAGAAGAAGAATCTTGAGGCTCTGCAGATTCAAGGGATTTATTACCTCCAATTGTCCAAGTGGATGTCTTGTGAATAGATCTTGACCATCCACGTTCCTGTAATTTTAAGAGAGCTACATTGTACATACATTATGCAAAAATCTATGTACATCCCTTACATTTAAACTATTATAACATTATTATAACACAATCTTTGTTCTAGCAATATCTTTAGCATAAAATTTTAATTGAATTTAATCACAAATTAAAATGAAGTAAAAAGGTATAAAATATAATTTCTATACATACCTTTTTCTCGGGTAAAATATATTTTGGCATTCCTTTGAGAAACCAAGCGCCACTTTTCTTCCACATTTCTCTACTCTCAGCGCAGATTCGACAAAGAAATTGCCTCTGACCACTACTAGATCTACTAACAATTCGTTGCATAGCTGTTCTTTCTTGTGTTCTTTCTCTTGTTGTGGAGACATTCGTAAGTATTGAATTTAATTCATTAGTCTCAATACCACATTTCTGACATATGTATTTTCGACAATCTTTACAGAGATTTGCTGATGCACCTAATACTGCACCAAATTTTTCACCACAAAGTGCGCAAGAACACACACAGTGTGCACTGTTCAAGCATCTGCTACTACATCTTCTCCTTTCGTTTAATCTTGTTGTAGTGACTATACAGACATTGCGTTTCATATTCTCCAATCTTTCTACTAATCTACCAATTCTTTCCTGTTCTGATAAATTTAAAGCTTCTGCTCTCTGAATGACCTAAAATATTGAAAATAATGAAAAGAGAATAAATATGTGAGCTGTTTACTTTGATTGACATTTAATCCTTATGTGTTAATTAATAATATATTCATTATTTTATAGAATAATCATTCTTCTAAGGAAATTGCTGTGTAGGAAATGGGACAATGAAATTATTATATACATACAACTTACATAATACAAAACTAGAAATTCATTTAAGGGTCAAAAGCTTAAGTAAGAAGGAAAAAGAAAAGTTATATTTGTATTTGTTCGAAATTTTACCTGTATAATTGTCTGTTGTTCCTCCTCAGTAAGTACAAATGATTGTGCACATCGATTAGTGCCACTTGAGTAAGAATTAGAGTAAGTACCCCATTTTGAATCTAGAGAGCCAGTCTTTACAGACCAACCTGTTTGCAACCTAATTATTGATATTTTATTAAAAATGTATATGTTTTATTGACAAAAGGAATATATAAGAATTCAAATCACAATGAGAAGCAACTCATATTATAGAATAAATTATTTATCTAATTATCATATATACATACATAATACATAAATAACTATAATAAGTAATTCTAAAACTATCTTTTAACTTTAAGCAGCATGAAAGATGACTGAGCTTAAAATATTGATTAAATTAAATTTCTTTTAATTGTGACATAAATTTTGTAAATTTCTCAGAATTCTCTCTCTCTCTCTCTTTCTCTCTCTCTGTCTCTCTCCCTCCCTCTCTCCCTCTCTCCCTCTCTACTCTTTTAGAACTTTTTACTTACTTTTAAGCTGAATTTTTAAATTAAAAATATCTTTTTGACTGTTAGACTACTAAAAAAATTAAACATATTAAAAGCGAAATAATTCTCTTTTTAGATATCTAACTTTGATAATATTTTAACTAATTGTTCTATGAAAAATTCTACTTCTGTTATTTTTCTATAATATAAGATTTAAAAATACATTTTTTCTACTCTGACTACATCTTGTTATAGACCAACTTCCAAACTTCCATTCTGATACTTATTCATTCTATTTCATTCTAATTCTTATAAATTAAATTAAATTTCATAAAAGGACTTTCTCTATTTTCCCATATGCTTATAAAGAGATGTTGAAATTTATGCTTACTTTGCTCTCAATGACAAATGTCTATCGTTTGGACAGACCCATCTGGTTCCTCCACTTATATCCTTTACTGTCATGTCCATTGTTTATCTTAGTAGAATTTTGAAATCATTTGAAATATATCAGAAACATTTTGTAATGTACACTAGCCTATAAAAAATAGACATTTAATTAATTAAATTCTATGATCGATAATCAAAGACTTCTTTTGATTGATTTTTTATTGAAAAAGAATTTTTTCGAAATCTTTAATTCTCAGATGTGTTGCAGAACGAAATTTGACTTACATAGCTTTTATTCGAAACATTTCTTTGTCAGGTTATTCGAAATGCCTAATGAATTATGTTTAATCTTAAACGATACACCTTATATATAAATATCTCAAGTTTTAATGAATGAACTTGAAGATTGTGTAGAATTAGTTCAAATAAAAATGATGTACGTGCATGTACATAAACATGAAAAATAGTAGCATTACTGTTAATTGCTTATAATGTAAAACATTCAAATTTTTTAGAATTACATTAATGAAATTAGGATTTTTTCTAAATTATTACACTAAGAGGTGAATTTATTAATAGAATTGAAAATTTTTTTGTTTCTTAAAACTTAAAAAAAGAAAAATAGAGAAATATTGAAAGTAATAATCGATTCAAAAGAAAGTTTTGTGAACTATGTATATAATAAGATGGCCTTTAGTTCGAAAATTTATGAAAATAAATCTGTTCTAAAACTACAAACTTCTGACGATATTTATCATCGACAGTATTTACTTCTACTGTACTGTTTATATTCTGAAGCCATATTTTAAATTTTATTCAGTTGTGTCTGTTGTTAACAAATACTGCTCTTTTGCCCATCAGGTAAAGTTCAATGACTGTTTTCTTTTCTTGTTATTATTAATGATCATGCAAGTCAATTATCTGATGAAATATTTAGATTTTGAGTTGTGTTAAGACCAAATAATTTATAATAATTAAGATGTCTATTATGTTAACGAACAAATGTTATTTCTTACTTTGCGTTATTATTTGAAATTATCATTTGGAAATAATTCATTTCTCGAATAAGATATTAGAAATTTATTTGTATTATTTATTACTATTATTATTAATTATTTGAATTAATCATTTAATCAGATAAATATTGAAGAACCAAAGAGAAGCTAAAATTTAAAAGAACAATTTTCGTCGAAGGTAGATGCGCAACAAGTATTCGTTATACTTCCGCTCTTATATTATTTAAGTAGCTAAAGGGAGACTATATTTGGACCTAAATCGATATTTCAATGGTTCACACTTACATCGACTCTTACTTTCTTAATGCACTGCTACAATATGATTAAGTTGGAAAAGAAAAGCCGTCTTTATAAATCCAACATCTTCTAAATTAAAGATAACAAAAGAAGCCAAATAAAACTTGGTTAAGAATTTTTTAAAATTATTTAAAATATAATTAAAAACTAAAAAGAGGAAAAATATTTTTCAATCCAACAAGATCTGAATTAAAGAAAATCGAAAAGCATAAATAATATTACTTATAATATCGTTAATACTTTAAATTACTTAAAATATATAATTAATATTTTAAAATATAATACTGCACTATTTTAAAAAAGAAAATTACTATGAAAAATAAAATTATAGTATAGTTAATACTTTAGAATGTAGTACTACTCTGCTCTCATTGTAAAATGTAGCTATTATTGAAAACTAAATTACTTAAAATATAATTATTATATCGGAATGTTATCTAAAATAAATCGTATGAAGCAAAACATATGTACGCAAATAAAAAACCATAATCGATATAATACACTGAAAGGAATTAGATTTGATAAATATAACGTAGTATTGACTATAGCGATATATTTGCCGGAAAAAAGAGAAGCACAAGAAGTGGAACAAGAGAAGAGATTCGTGACGCGTGGCAATCGTATCGTTAACTGAAAAAAAGAATGAGCGCGAAAGTCCTACGTTGAAGGGCGATCAATCGAAAGCTCGTGACGCATGCCATCATTCCTCACAGGACTGCATTGATAGCAATTTCATTACTTTTACACGAATAGCAAAAACACATGTAACTCACCGACAATACATTAAACTATATACAGCTTTAATATCCTGCTTAACATTATTCAACCATTTAACATACAAAATTTTATCAAATATCTCAATTAAATTAGAATTCCAACTTGTAAACTTAAATATACATAAAAGATAAGAAAATTTTAAATAATACGATAAAAATAAAAATAAAAATAAAAATTCCACCCACTTCCTCAGAAGTAAATTGATTAGAATCCACACAATTTCAAAAGCGTAAAAATAGAAAACAAAGTAAACGTAACTTAAACATATGACACCCAATATTATAAATGAACCTAACTAATGTATCAATTTAAATATACTACCATAATAAAGAGATAAAATATGATATTTTTTAAGTCGTTAAAAAAATTTTAAACCATGTGAATTTATATATGTATACTTACGTAAATATGTACAAACGTGTAGCGTTTAATTTGAAAGTAGATAACTGCTTTGGATTGACATAACTATAAACAACTGGATGATTTGTAAAGATTTGTAAATTTTGTAATGTAGAATGTTAATGTCTATAGTATTTTTGAGAATGGTATTGTCTCATGGAATACAGAATTGAACTTGCCACGGCATCAGCTAGCCGACAAGTGGCTGCTATTATCGCTGAAACTGGCCTACAACTCCGCTTCGCTTCCGATACAGGCGCAGAAGGGTGCGAGTCATGCGTGAGATTCACAGGGATGTACCTAAGAAATTCACCTATAGAGCGTCTCTATTGAATTAGCTGAAACAACAAAAGAAAAAACAGCAGGCATGCTGCCCTTCGTTCTTTTCTTTTTATCCAATTATATATCATAATATATAAGGATCTTTATTACGTTTCTCTTTATGCCATTTGTAAAAATTTAAATACAATTACTATTGTTTAAAACTTACTATTTGATTTGATAATATTGAAATTATATTGGTCCATAGAAAGCATAGTAAATAAGGTACAAAAATATTCGTATAAAAATATCCATTTCATTATGTTATTATATGTTATTCGTAAAGCTTAAAGATATTATACATAAAATTTACTATTTGGTTTAAGTTAATAGGATTTATATTGGATAGGCTGTAGAATGGATTGATTCAGACAAAGTAAAAAGATAAGTTGCTCCTTATGAAGAAATATATTATGTATTATATAAAAATCTTCGTTTCATTTTACTTTACGTCGTTTGTAAAAATTAGATTCAGTTACATGTGAAACTTATGTCATTAGAATTACGTTGTACATGTAAATTGGAGTTATATTGGTCCACACGTGTAAGTGGATATGTTACCGTTTAAACAGCAATCTATTATTTATAATCATTGTCATAAAATAAGATGAGAGAAGGTAAAGACTTTGAAAGGTTAAATACAAAATCGTACCTTTAATACTTAACAGAATATAGTACACGAAGTTATATATAGAATCCCTCATTCAGTGTCTATTCCTTCATCGTGGCTGCGCGTGCGTATTTGCGTGCACATGTGTATACATTATACCTGATTATACATATAAGTGTACATTATCCTACTTGTAGTTGTGTATATGATTTTGTTTTCTATGTATTTCATTCTTGTATATCATATATAATACATGTAAAGATAAAATATTTTTCTTTTATGTATAAAATGAAAATAATATGTAACACAAATTGTAATAATAAAATTCCAATATTAGTAATATGTAACACAAATGGAATAGTCATATATTATATAGAACTGATTTTTTACATTATTTTCATTACACAATTTATATCAGATTATTATTTCTAGAATATTAAGCGTAACATACATATTTTAGATATCATATACATTATTATTAAATATTTTCGACTTTTATATTACAATTTTTACATTGAATAGAAAATAGAAATATTCTAGATTTAAGTAGGAAAAATTTTATCAAGATTTACATTTGCAATTAGGAATAAAAGAAATCGAACATTTATAATTTTTTAAAATTTACATTATTTAAATGTTAATAATTATGAATGTAATGGAAGATAAAATATTATAGTAAACAGGTGTCCTTGTTCTACATTGCAATTATTGACGAGTTGCATTTCGCAGCTGCTGACTTTCTTAGGTAAATGTCGAAAATTTATTCTATAGTTAAATTCATAGTAGAATTTAATAATAATAGATGAATAAGTAATAATAGAATTTTTTAGTCAAAATTTAATGAAACTATTTTTTTATTTTTTATTTGGAAAAATATTTATTTTATGTAAAAACTTATTTGCACTCTCTTTGCCTCTTATTTTTTCCTTTTTCAAAGAGTAATGTTTTATTTTATAATTTAGTATTAATCGATCGAAATAATATTCTATTAACATAATTATGTATTGATGTTCATTGTTTAACAATTTATATACGTGATTGATTATTTCATTGATCCTAAATTATGTACCAAAAAACGCGGATGGGGGAAAGAAATGCCAAACAAATAATATATGTATGTAACTGATCACAAAATAGAATAAAGTGTGATCGTAAAATAAAATAATGTAATTATAATATTAAATTAGCCAACAATTAATAACAACATTATAAACAAATATATTAACATGAATAAACACCACATGGTTCTAAAGTTTAACTGCGCAAAATTTTATTTATAATATGTATTTATCTTTTTACAATTAAATACAATATATATAATAGCAATTACTATTACAGTAATTTAGACCTTATAAATACAATTATAGATATTAAACTATGAAAAATATCTGTTGATGTAATGTAATATTTCAAAAACAACTTCGACCATGATAAGAATAATGATCATCCACTCTAAACGAATATGATGGCGATCGCTTAAACGCATTGCTAAAATTCCCACAAGTTCAACACAATGATTTAATTTTTCGTTTATAACCTACAAAATAAAATTAATTATATATTTGCATATCATACATAGAGTATTGAAAATTAAGTGGTTCCTCATACAAAATTAACGTAAAAATAGTAAAACAAATAATTTAAATATGTATTTATCTAGTTTAATAGGTATCTAAAATATTATAATTTTACATCCCACATTCACATAATAAAAATCTGTATGTTTTAACAATGTAATCATATTTAATAATTTTTCCAATATTGTAATTGTAAATAAACAAGTAAATTAGTATATATAGTAATAAATAAATATATACTATGTATTATATCTTTATTTTTAAAATTCTTTAAAAAATTGTAATAAAAATTTCATTCTACATTCTTGACTATTTCTTGACTACTACTTTTCTACAAGGAATAATTTACTTTTAATACCACAATTTTCTATACACTCTATATACAAGCTCATAATACATAGCCAAATCAATGACCTTTTCTAACTTACTCTTGTGCGTTTTGCAATGTTAAAATACGAGCAAGTTTCTTGGTAAAGACGTTCTAAATCATCCCTTTCCCAATAGAAATCTGGAGTGTCTAATAAATCTGAGCTTAAATTAATTGAATGTCGCAAAGCAAATAATTCCCCTTGCTTTCTTAATACTTCATGTTCATTCATTCTAAGCCCTCTGCCAGACTTTAAATCTTCAGTAACAAATGCTATGGAATCTATATAATGGTCTAAAGATGCTTCCCATATACCTAACTTGACTGATTGTGCCATTGCATTTGAGAATGTGTATTTATCTAAATTTGTTGCGTTTAAAGCTAAAATAATGTTACCATCCTTTATATGATTCTTTTTTCTGTAAAATATTTAAAGAACAAAGAAGTAAAATTATTGAAAAAATAATGAAATTTAAATCTCTTAAATTTTAATAGATATTACCCATGATCCGCGTAACTGTAACACATTACTTCACTTTCAGATTTTACAATGCATTCCATATAACGATTTTGTTCGTATTTTTTTAAAAATTCTAATATATTTTCACATTCGAATTCAGAAATATTCCACGCCACTATAGTGCCTTCTCGAAAAAAGAAAACTTCTCTTTGTTCATGGCTGACATCATACTTTGCCACAGCATGTATAACATCTGGTGAAGCTGCAAAAATAATCTAAATAAAGCACATCCTATTTTACTTATTTGGAATTATGGAATTATGAAAAAAATAAAGTAAATAAGTATCGCATATAAAAATAATGTTTATTCATATTGAAATATTTGTATACATATGCATTTTAAAAAAATGTATTGCATAAAAGTTATAATATTTAAGATACCAATAAATTAAAGATTCTCAGAAGTCTAAAACTTTTTGCATATAAAATATTTTTCAAAACTTCATTTGATTACTATCATTGTATAAATTGGGAACATTTTTTAGATAATACAATCTTAATTATATACCTTTCAATTACATTATAATTTTTATATAAATTTGTAATTTTAACATATATTTCATTATCAGTACTTCACAAGTTTGCTATAATATATATAATACTACAAATACTTACTATAAGCATTTATTTTATTAAAATATGATAACACCATTACATATAAATAAATGGAAGATGTATTATCTTAAATACACACTGGTAGTAAGTATGTTCATTTTGGTTCATTTTATATGTATATGAAATAAACATTATGTACGAAACATATATTTGAATAAAGAAATTTTAGCTTCACATTTAAATAAAAAAAAGAATATATAGATAATTATTTATGATAATGTATATTAAAAAATATTATGTATATGCTGCATAACTTATCAAATTTGACTTTGAGAAGTAATACTCAGTACACTGTTTTAATATATCCCTATAACAAATTAAAATTTCATCTCGTGTATAATATTATTTCATATCTTATTAAAAGTATGTGTCTGTCAATTTATGTATGTGTCTTCAATCTATTAGAAATGGACTGTCACATGCACCCAATCCTGATGCAACACCACCTTCATTAGCAGTAGCTAACTTTGTCCGTAACATATGACCACTTTGCTTATTAAGATATACATTATTTTCATCTGCTATTATAACACCAAATATTCCTAATTCAGAAACTAATTCTTGGGATTCTGTACTCATATTATTTTCAGGTCTGATCATATGACTCTTGTGAATTGGAGGATGAATTTTGTCCATAAGAATCCAAGCTACTCTGTCTTGCTTATTCTTTATAGACTCTAAAAAATGTTTTATATCTAATCCATATTTGTTATTGCAACCTCCTTCTCGTTGAGGTTTAAGTACAAAACAATGTGGATTTGTAATTCCCATTTCTATAGCAGCATCCCCACGTTCATCAAAATCTAATGCATAAAGTTCTATACAAAACAACATATTTCAATTAATATCTCAATGTGATATATTACTAGTAAAATAATTCACTTACCAGTGAATATTTCTTTGATCTCTGCACATGTTTTTTCATTTTTTAAAAATCTACTAATTACATCTGGCTTTGCAAGTGCTTGTTGAACTTTTTTAGTTCCTGCTAAATGATACTGTATGGTAGGACACTTAATTGCCAATGATCTTTCTATTAATAATCTTACATCCCATTCTTTCTGTGTATGATATTGTCCAGGTTCATACCCACATCGGTAGTACACTACAGATACAATATAACTGTCTACTATCAATTCCTTATTAGAACCCAATTTGGCAGTAGCTGCCAATTGTGTTAAATTTCTACGAATGACTCTAACATTTGGATTCTGTTTCTTAATTTCAAATTCGTGAAAGCGTTGATCACATATATTATATGTAACATCTTCAACAACAAATAAAATTACTGCTCTGTAAATAATTAAATATATATTTAATTAAATTTTCTTAATCTGTAAGATCTATAATATAACCTGTAATTTGATTAGAAACATACTGTTCATTTCCATATATCTTCCATGCTTTAATCATACTTGAACATATTATTTCCAGTGCATTATTTTCTGGAAGATTTTTTATTTCTTTATAATATCCAAGCTCTCTTAATACAAATTTGTGTAATTCAGTTGAAGCAGGTCCTAACCAACCAAAGCCAGATGCAATTGTATTTATTTCAACTTGTTTCCAACAACAATATGGTATACATTTCTTAATTGTATCTTCTTGTGGACAAGATGTATCCAACATTAAGTCTGAACGCAATATACCAAGAGATATTTTTTGTGCTGATCCTCCTTCTTTGTTTATAATTTTACAGATTTCAAATAACTTTTTGGTAAAATTGTCAACTTTAATCGTTTCTTCTAAAGTTGCTTTTAAGAAATTATAGTCCTGGGCAACTCTATGCATAAGTATATTTAATATTATTTGAATCGAACAAGCGTTTTCGAACTCTTTTCTAGGAAATGGAGATGGCATCAGAATAAATGGTGCAAATTGTAGGATGTTTTCATTAAAATTTTGTTTTGATCTCATACACATTCCATGCATAAGTGCCCAATCTTTTGCTTTTTCTATCAATTCTTCGAGCTCTTGTTTAGAAGAAGGTAAACTAAGTTCCGTGTCCATAGTTATTCCTTCCTTAACGTAGATGTTTACATAAAACCTTTTAAACCACAGATTTTATGTAAATTTTGATAATTTAAAAAATTTACGTCACTTCAAATTATATAAACTTTGTTGCTAATATATCCAATTCTTTAGATTATACATGTCTAGAAACCTATTATGAATATATCAATGAAATTTAAACATTTTTTGTATTACATACAATATATACATAAAAGTTTTCTATGGAAAATATTTAAATATTTTTGATTTTTTAATTTTAAGAATACCTTGTTGCACAAAGTCAAGAAAAGGTTGCAATAGCGTATCGCAATAATACGACTACACTCTTTTGATGATAAGCATACTTTTTAATTCTGTATAGGCAATATATGGCGTCGTAATCTTTAAAGTATACAAAACTACAAATAGTCACATTTCTCATTTTATTGAACCGTGTATTATATATAGATAATATTTCACATATATAATTTTAATACACTCTATCATTTTAATACTTTTATACAGCATTTATAAATATTAAGAATGCTGTAAAAATATCGATAAAAAATATTAAATAAATGTTAAAATAAATAAACATGAACATGATATTGCACTTTTATTATATATTATTATTATACATTACTAACTAATTATATATTAGTTTGAGATTACACAAATAAAAGATATTGAAGAATATTTGTTCATTTTATGTAAATAAATTTTTTACATTCCTGTTATTGCACAAATATAGTTATGAAACATATACATATTTATAGGTTAGAGAAACATTCCAAAATCTCATTATCAAATATAATAACATTTACACTTACATTTTTATCCATATAAATAAAAAGAATATTTTACTTTATATTTTTAACCTCAAATTAGAATTTTTATTTGACTGAAAACGATCTGAACTACATAACAAACATAATATAAAATAGAAATAATTATATTTATTCATTAACTTAATTTATAAAAGCAAAATACTTGTTTCAAAATTATATTAAAACTGAAATAACCTGTTCAATATTTGATATTTTAATGATACATTATATAGATAAAAAATATCATTTTAATGAATATATGTATTCAGATAAAAAATTATTCTGATAATACAATCTAAAAAGATATATATATATATAATCTGTGGTTAAATAAATTACTGTACTAATAAAAAAGTTTCAATCTAAAAGTATAATTCATTAATTTAGTAAATCTATTATTTGTTTGATATCAATTTATCAATTACTATTTAGATATTTTATATATGTAATTACCTATTTCTAATTTACCATAATGTAATTTAATTCCTTTTATAGTTGTTTATATAAATATATATGACAAACAAAATGACAAACATGTCATTCAAATAATCATCACTCAAATAACATGATAAAATGTATTCTTATTGCTAGAAGATGTGTTTATTAATTATTTTTTTACTTTTAACTTTATTATGTAAATACATCATTAATAATTTAAAATGAAATTAAATAACTGTATTATAATAATGATTAATATTTTGCAATTTTTTTAAATATACATATTTTATATTAATATAAATATTTTTTATTTTTTCATTATTTTACGCATTGTTTATTTTAGTAATTATCAATTTTAATTTCAAGCTTTATATCCTATCATCAAAGAACAGCTTCACAAATTAAATTATACAAATTTTGCAAAAGTAATGCATATCAAACAATTTATAATTCCAGTTTATATTGTTTATTTTATTGCAATAAACTATGAATGGCCAAAGGGACAATACATATGTATATCAAATGTATAGACATCAAATTCGTTATTGCTAAACTATAGATGTTTATGCATTTATGGAAAATTGAATATATAAAATGCACATAATTTGCAGAAATATATAAAATTTTCGAAGTATTACTGACACTGTTATATCTAAAGTGTGAAATAAATCTCTGCTCAAATTGTTACTTTTGGCGGCTTATGCAAATTTAGATGTGCATAAGCACTTATAGTTTAGTTATCACTAAAGGCATATTGTGCTAATATAAGACTAATTATGTATAGTTCATTGTCAATTATAAAATAGATATTGCATAATTTCTTAATAAAATAATTTAAGATTTGAATAGTGCTAATTAAAATATTCTGAAGTTTACTTTTTAGTAATTTACTATGTTTATTAAGCATCCTTTGGTTTTACTATATTCTATTAAATTATTTAGTTCTTTTTATATTATTCAGTTATTAATATAATAGGATAATCAATATAAAATAGGTATCAGAATAATAAACTTAATATTCTAATATACATTATCGTCTATATATATATATACATCTTAAAAGATGAAAACTTTTATAAAATGCTTTTTGTGTGTTAAAATACAATAGTTAGATTCATATACAGGGTGTTCAGAGTTTGACCTTGAGTCTCAGAGTCAAACCTTGTAAATGCATTCTGTAGGTACAGTTAAATAAAAAATGTTATATATAGATTTGTTACTTCAAGCTTCATTAAAAATTTATAATGTAAAAGTATGAAATACAATGGAAATAACAATAGATTTACAGTTACTATGCTATAAGACAAGATTAGGTTTACAAAGATAGTCCTTAACTGTTACTGTCCATTTTAAAATCTACGCTATGGTTACTGATACAAAACTGATAACAATAAAACACTGTATTCATTACCTTATAATGCTTATTTTGAACTCATTTCATTTCAATGAATCAATCTAATACTTCTTTGATGTACCTCTATTTTTTAAAGTTAGTTTACACATAACAGGCCAATGGCATAAAATTAAGGACAATATTGAAATTTAAAGTTACGTGTACTATATTTATATAACACTTCTTATTTGATTATATTCATATGATGTACCCCTAATACTTATAAATACTTACAACTCTAAAACAATTCTATATCATGAATGAAATCTAATAATTCTAGTATACTTACAGTTAGTTGATGTTTGTATACTGCTAGGCACATATAGCTTTTGTTCAATAAGACCTTGCACTAAAGCTTCCAAATTATATTCTTCTGAAGTAGCCAATGCTTTTACATTATATGCCTGTAAACAGACGGAATTTTTAATTTAAATGTATAGTTTTTGGTTATATAAATTTTATAAAAATTGCTTTCTAATTAATTTCTACTTTCTTTCTCCTTCTTCCTAGTTAATTTCTTACATGTTAATTTAATATAAATATAAAATAAGTAAAATACCTTTTCTGAGAAAATTAAATTTTATTTCTTTCATTATCAAATTTTATCTTACTATGATAATTGATATATTCTATATCTCTATAATTATAATTACTTACAGTACTCATTTCATCATTGGTAGAAATAGCTGTCCTTTTCTTGGTCCTTTTTTTCATTTGAACAGAAGAATAATTATTTGCATCTTTATTCGTGAGTAATTTCAAATTAGATTTATCTTTTTTAAACTGAACTTTAGTAGTATATAACAAGTTATTATAACGTAATTGTAAGCTGAGTTTTGTCATAAATACACGTGTTGTTAACACATGATTGTATGATGTAAAAACAGTATTTATTTTTCTAGAAATATTAAAATTAATGTTGCTCCTGCACGTTAATATAATAAATCTCTGTATCGTGTAATTCATTTTATTCAATATTATGTATAAAAATTCTGTTTTCTATTTGGTTAACAAACATAAAATAAGAAATATTTCATTAAATTTTTTCTATATTTTAGTCAGATATGTATGTTTTATTTTTAATGAGAGAATCAGTAATATTACAAGTAATATTTATTTAGCTTGCAACACACAACGTAATGTATGTTTATATACACATATATAGCTTTATATTATGATTGCTGGTGCATCCTGTATATGTATATGTCGTTCGTATCTTGTACCTACAGTCGTATACGATCCTGTTCCTACGTACCGTACCGATGAATAGCAGAAAAGATGTGTATACAGATCGGATCGGTGACAGAGCAAATATAGATAACATTTTTTCCTATTCTTTTATATAATGTAACAATGTTTGAGAACACAATTTGAAAAAAGAAACGCACGGTTTTGTTTTGTTACTTCGAAGGAGATTGGTTCAAATTTCAACAGGGACCATTTTCTTACAATGAATATATTTATAAACGAAATATGTGCAATGTATAACGTGCGAACGAAAAAGAAAAATATTTAAACACTAAAAGGATTTTTTAAATCTTATTTTATGTTTTCAATTCGTGATCGACATAAGAATGCGCCTTTTTTTTTAGGTGCGCATCTAAACAGAACATATGATCCTCGTTGGTAGTCGTAACGTAGTAAAAAGCTACCAAAATGTCAAGAAGGCATTATCATGTATTTTCGATCCAGTATCTCACGGTCTAAACTAAAAATTGTGCCTTATTAAAAACACTTCTTAAGAAAGCATGGAACTTGCTCGAAATCTTGTTACTTGCAAATTAAAATGCTATCTTCTCAAAGCGCCGAAAAAATATTGTTTGCATCATGTAAGACACATCAGGTAATATAAACTTCATAACAAATTAAATATGTACATCAATTGAATAAAGTAAATTATTTATTTATTTTTCTATTTCAAAACACATATGGGGATGAAACCTTTTAATTAAATTAATAATTACATTGTCTTAAATGTTATGCATTTTTAACAATGTCTTTTTTAATTTAAAATCTTAACTATATAAAAAGAGCATGATATATGAAATGTATTAAAACATTCTAGTAAATAGTTAATAATAGAATGAGATATCAATGAATATGTATTTTTTCTAAATACATAGTGTTCAAAAATAAGAAATATAAATATTAGTTTACTATATACTTTAATAAGAAGTTGATTATTAGACTGTGTGACAGTTACATGGAAACAAATAATATGAAATAATATTTAAAATACAATATTTGGTATAATATTTGATAAACATAAATCTTTATTTAAGCTCTATTTCTTTAGTTGTGCTCATCGAAATATATATTTACATAAAAATCTGTAATCTGAACCAAATACTATAATAACCTTCTTTCGTAGATTGGCAGAAGTGGGAAAATTAGAAACACCAAAATTACAAGGAAAGTATGAAACTGGTCAATTAATTCTGCATAGAGTATTTGGTTACCGAGGTGTAATATTATTTCCTTGGACAGCAAGAGTTTATGACAGAGATATTCCAAATAAAAGAGAAGGGTAAAGTAATCTTATAGTTGCAAAATAAATAATTAATAAATTACTTAAAAATTCCATTTGTTTTTAGAAATACAAATGATCACTATAATAGTGTGGGAAAAGAAGTAAAAGGTAGAACTCATACCTTTTATCAGGTACTAATTGACCAAAGAGATTATCCTTTTATAGTAAGTATGAAAGGATGAGTAAAATATCACAGGGATATTTTAGTCTAGACAACTATGTTTGAGTCATGTTTTGCTACATGAAAGGAAACCTAAAACTTTTATAAATCTGGTAATTTTGTGAATTTTATATTAATAACATATGTATATACATATAAATTTAATTGTTTATATGTATATAGAAAATTCATAATGAAAAAGTTAAGGGCAATTTATTTCCTTTAGAATTAAAATAGAATTAAAATTTTATTGCATAGCATGTGCAGATATAATATTTTTAGTAAGCTTTGTGATTTCTTTAAAAAGTCTTTATTCAATCTCATCATGTACAGTAGAAGTTTGTACCGATTGTTAGAAACGCTACAAACTTTCCAAACCAATATTTTAAGAATATATTCTTATGATAGTAAAAAAGAAAAATGTTAAAAACTCCATGAAACTCAATGAAATTTGTTAATCTTCTAGAGCAAAATATTCCCTTAAATATATAGAAAAAAAATTAACATTATAAATCAATCTTATATGTTTATATGTAGCGTGCTCAGACAGAAGCTGTAACATTTTTGAGTAATCATGAAAGTAGTCATAGCTTATATACAGTCCCAGGATTGGATTATGTTGCTCATGAAGATGTTTTGCCTTATACTACAAATGAGAAAACTGCATTGCAACATGAACTATTTGACAAGTTCCTAGCATATAATCCAAATCAGGATCCATGTTTTGTTGCACAAGAAACCCTAAGAGCATGGCAGAAAAAGAATCATCCATGGTTGGAGTTATCAGATGTACATAAAGAAACTACTGAAAATGTTCGTGTTACTGTAATTCCGTTTTATATGGGTTATAGAGGAAATCAAGCTACAGCTGCACACTGGGTAAGTATTAAAACATACTTGTTACAAATTGCAAGTTAGTCTAACTTCAAATAAATAATTTCATTCTAATTAAATAAATCAGTGGCGCTACTGCATTCGATTGGAAAATTTGGGTGATATGAGTGTGCAATTACGTGAAAGACACTGGAGAATATTTAGTCTTTCTGGCACATTGGAAACTGTACGAGGACGAGGTGTTGTTGGTCAGGAACCTGTCTTATCAAAAATTTTACCTGCTTTTCAATATAGTAGTCATGTGAGTTTGCAAGCTGCAAGTGGTCATATGTGGTATGTATTTATTATTATTTTATGTTCAATATATTCCAGTAAAAATTATTTTGTATATATTAATTTAATAATTAAAGAAATTACAATATTCTTTTATTCTTTAATAAAATTATAGTGTTCAATAATATTTGAATTACATGTACCCTTAGCTTTTAATGTAGATTTAACAAAATATAAATTCTTTTAAACTTACATAAGATATCTTGTAATAAATGATGCAACTGGGAATAGAATATTCAAAGGTGAATTCTCAAGGGTATGAAAAATATTAATAAATAAAAGTGTGAAATAAAATTATATAATTAAAAGAATTGAACGTTTTTTTGTTATGTGTGCATCTAACCGAGTTTTAATTACGTAGAGTTCTTAAAGAGCAAAGATTTTTTTGTTACTAATGTTTCTCAATGTTGAGAAAGTAATTGTTGTTTTTATTACATTTTCCTACTATAGGTTTGATGAGAGTTCTATATAATAAGAACTTGAATGCACACACAATCAAAGAATCTTCAAATGTCTTAATCTTGTGCTGAAAAATTTGTTCTATATTTTCGAATTTTTTCTTTTATGTAAAATTACTGCTTTTTCAATTGCATCATCGGTTGTATGACACAGTCTAAAAATGTTTTAATATTATTGATTGTAATGTGTATAAAGGTAAGTGTTACAGCATAGTAAATATGTCATATTATGTTATATTTTAGGGGTACATTCAGAATGGAAAGGGAAGATGGATATGCATTTGATTGTAGGATTCCACCATTTTCTTTGGAATCTAAAATAGAGAAACCACCTACAGATATGAATATCAATTCTTAAACAAACTATGTAATGCGGTGTGGAAAGTGATGGAAAATAAATAACACTAAAAATTGATGAACAATATAAACTTGCTAATACATGTGATCCTTACTTATATAATAATACTTATATCGATTGTAATATTTGATTATAAATATTATGAGTAGAATTTAAGCTGTGTAGTTTTTGGTATATAGTAAATTTATAACAAATATTTTATCATGTTATTTTAAATATAGTAAGATCTGTTACAAATAGATATATGAATAAAATATAATTGTATAAATATAGTTGTTCTTTATCTTGTAATTAAATTAAGAATAAACAAATATGTTATCTCTTGAAATAATTAAAAGCCACCAATAAGATTGATAATTTCGTGTACTGAACTTAAATACTGAATATATATATTTTATAAAATGCATAAGCAAATGTTATTATATAAAAAATTCTCGAATTTTCAAATGTTAATTGATAATGTTTTCAAAAATTAAATATAATCCTAGATACTTTATTATTTATTATATTTTATCATATATTTTATTGTATATTTTATTATTAAATTATTATTTTATGAACAGAGAAATTTAAACATATCTTGAAAAATATTGTCAAAAATCTTCTCCACTAACGTTAATGTTCGCTTTTTAATTCGTTTACGATATAATGTTTTGAGTTGAATTCCAGACATATTTTTGTTTAAATATTTTCATTTGCTTTAAAGAAAAAATACAAATCAATAAGAAATATAGATAAGATTATCTTTCTATAATTCTATCAAATGAATTAAGTGCATGTACGGTCACTCAAAAAAGTGTCCGTTTATCCTTTAAAACAGAATACGTTCTTTAAAATAGAATCAAACGACTTGAGCTTTTTTGTAAAGTTAGGAAGGAAGGATTAGTTTACTAGGTGATATGTAAGCCAATTTTGAGAAAATTGCAATTGGTTGAAATTACGAAGAAAATTGTAAAAGTCGCTTTTTACAACTATTTTATCTGAGTTTGTAATGAAAATTTGAAAAATACGTTTTGTAGATTTATGTCAGCTATGTATGTATATGGTGAAAATTTAATCGAAATCAATTGATGCAGAAACAAGCGACAGGCATCGAAAGATATAAGAATCTTTAGATTTATTACATTTACAGATCGAATATCGTAAAAAACTGCAATTTTCATCATTTTTAACTATTTGCAGTCTATAGTAACTGACTTCAATGAAATTTTACACAAACCTTCTTAGATTAAATCTATAAAATATACTTTTCAAAAACTTAGATACAAAAGTTGTAAAAGGCGATACTTATTATTTCCTCCGCAATTTCGATAAGTAGTAATTTTCTCCAAACTTTTTTACACATCATCTAGTAAACTAATGCTTCTAACTTCTCAAAACAGACTCAAGTCATTTGGTACAATATTAAAAAAGTTATTCTATTTTAAAGAGTGTACGGAAGCTTTTATGACTGACTGTATGTAACAAAAGTTATATCAGGGGTGAGTACATAGCTGGGTGATGAGTGAATGATGAATAACTAGTTAGAGAGATGTAGTAGATGTACTTAATATCAGAGATCTACTCATTTTTGGTGCTACATATTTGTGACTTTTAAACTTCACATAATATTTGTTGGAAACTTTTGAATCCATTGCAGTTACACCATCATGAGAACTTATCTTTAATATAGTAGAATGAATTTAGCTTCA